TGTACTATGGTGTGGTACGACCAGGCTAGTGATGCCATGATGTGTAAGTACAAAGTGAGTCTGCATGAGTCCAAATCACATCCTTTGGACTCGGCTCCTGATCTCAGCATGAAAGAAAACAAGCAGTGACCATTCCTGACGTCTCTCTAGATATTAATCTGAGAGAGATTCATGTTAAATTAGACGTCAGATACTTTTAAAATTGCAATAAGAGACTAAAACTTTTTGAAGACAAGCAGTGGTTGGACCCTCGCTGCTCACACCTGCAACTTCCTGATTTGGTTTAAACTGTTCTGCTCCAACAAGAATAGATAAGTTAACCTTTTAGATAAGATAAACTTTATTAATCTCACACTGGACAAATGTACATGTCACATTTGGCACAGATAGAATCACTCAGACTGCACAAAAGACAGAAGAGGTAAAAGAATACAGTTTTTTCAGTCCGAGTGCATTAGTGACTTAAAGTTACTCGTTGTACAGTCTGACAGCAGTGGTGAAATATGTGAATAACTAGTCACATTTCAACAACATAATCTCTTTAATACATGTTGTCAGCCGCTGGTTCAAAACTACAGGTTATCTGGACATCAGCACAAACAGACAAGTTACAGACTGTCTGGGTCTGGGTCTCTGCTGGATGGAAAGCAGAAGAGTGACCAAGAATGGACCAAGAGCTCTGGTCTTATACCCTGATAATTTGAAACACATGTGACCATTTGGTGACAATATGACCTATCGAACTCTAGGTGAGAAAACCAATCTCCTCTCATCAGTCAGGAGAAGTGTCTTCTTGTCTAAACACAGATGTTTTCTGGCTTCATGCTTGTTTTGTTTACTCTGCTCTTGTTTACTTATGCTCTTTCACTCTTGCCTGGGGGCTGGGAGAATTCTCCATCCATCACACACGTAGGGAAACCCAAAGCTATCTAAACTTTGAATATATTCTCATTCACTTTAATGAAAATCCAACAACTCTACTAACAATACATTTGAGGATAGATTTATTTGTGTCACAGATGAGAAGTTTCTGTAGAAAGAGCACACAGACATAGATGAGTGACTGTAAATGCTTTTTAGATTTTGGGTTTAAGCACCGATCTATAACAAGTGTCAAGATTAAGATTGAGAGATTCTTTATTCGTCCCACAACGGGGAAATTTCAGTGTTGCATCATAAGTTATAGAACAGTAGGAAAGAGGAGCACACAGCACAAGATAAGCTATAATAATTAAAATAAAACATCTTTCTGGTCGTTATGCCAAATGGAGGCACTATTTTTCATCTATTCTTGATGAAAAAATACTAAAACTCTACATTATAGTGTGCCATGGTTAGAAATACCAACTATTTTAAACATGACATGCAGTTTGAGCCGACAGATATCACCTTTAATTAAAAGTACATTGCTCTGGCCGCTGTAATAACTGTGCCAAGAGTTTGAGCAAGAGTATTTCAGAAGTGCAGTGTCGCTCCAGACTCTGCCAGTGACCCCTGCGGACCCCATGTCACTCGTAATAACTTTGTCCTTGACTTCAGGGGAGGGCAGGTGGCCGCTAACAGCTTTCCAGCAATCCAGCAAGGGAGAAATGACGGCTCTTATCTCCGTTACTAAACCGATTTGAACTTGGAGCCAAATCAAAGGAAGGTTTCTCACCCATCATCTGTACTTCTTAGCAAGTTTTCCCGACGTTTCGTCCTCAAACTAGCGGACTTCTCCAGGGAATGAATTCTCGGACCGCGCGTTGGAGATTTATAACCTATGGGTGTGGTCCTAGTTTGAGGACGAAACGTCGGGAAAACTTGCTAAGAAGTACAGATGATGGGTGAGAAACCTTCCTTTGCTTTGACTAATCCCTGTACGACTGAGGGCTTACACAAACTTGGAGCCAAATGTTTTGTATGAGAAGTGACCGGAGTTTAAACTGGATTATTGAATCTGAATCTGTACGCTGTCATTCACATCTCAGTGAAAGGGTGGAGACAACACTGAGAAAGGCAGATTTTTTGGGTTTGACTGTTGATTTTGTATGGATGCTTCTTATTTCTTTGCATATGTGGCAAGGCAAGTTTAGGGCGGCACGGTGGCTGAGTGGATAGCACTCTCGCCTCTCAGCAAGAAGGTCCTGGGTTCGAATCCCGGTCGGACCAGGGCCTTTCTGAGTGGAGTTTGCATGTTCTCCCCGTGTCTGCGTAGGTTTCCTCCGGGTGCTCCGGTTTCCCCTACCACTAAAAATATGTCCAATAGTTCTGGCATGTGCCTCCTGTACTGGCCCCGCTCCCATCTCTGTGTGGAGTGAGAGACTAATGCCCAAAATTAACAATTGTAAACCGCTTTGAGACTCAGATCTGCAGTGAAAAGGCGGTATATAAATAAAAACTTACTTACTTACTTACTACTTTATTTGTAAAGCACAATTCATACACAATGCAACCAAACAAGATTGAGACAGTCACACAAGGCAGTCATAAATAATTAAAGAGTACAGACAAACATTCCCTCAGTTGTATGCACAGCTAAAAAGAACCGTTTTTAACCTGGGTTTCAACATTGTCAGAGAAGAGGCCCGTCTCACATTTTCAGGAGGACTGTTGGAGATCTTAGCTGCATGCTTAGTTTATGAGCGCCATATTTGCTCATGTCCTTGCTGCGTTTGTGAAGCTGCCTGGTGCGGCGAACTGGCTTCACCGTGGGCACGCATTTTAATCACGGCTTGTTTAGACCGATACGATTCCTTCCACGTTTTACACATAACACACAAAAAACTTTATTATTTGAGGAAGGACATTGAGCCTTGAACCTTTCCCTCTTTCCAAGTTTAAGATACATTTTGTGCCTGAAAGGGAACGGGAGCAAGAACTTATTGAATCCAACCCCTTTTTCCATTTACACATTAGCTTCCCTGCTCAAGCAAACTTCTCACAGATGAATGAAAGTAATCAACCAATCTATATATTTGTGAAGCATATTTAAAACGGCCTAAGCTTACAAAAGGCTGTACAAGTGAAAAGCAGCCATAGAATATAAATATTTACAGATAAAAATCAAAAACGTTTCTCATGCTACTAGAAGCTTGCTACGACTTGTGTTTTTATCATAGGTACGATAAGATAAGATAAGCTTTATTTATCTCACAATGGAGAAATGTACATAAGCAGTGTCTCTCAGGTCGTGCAAAAAGACAGAAAAGTACAATGTAATCTCAATAAATAAAAACCAGTGATGGTATAAGACAGAAAATACACACAATGGTAATTAAACTATAATTCTTCTTTGACGCAGCGGTCTCAGCAGAAAGCACTTCCCTGTCCACGCTCACTTCCTCTGGCTCGTTCGGGGGAATCCCATGCGCTCTCTAATATTTACTTTTTTATATGATCAGTTCACTCTATGACAATGTCTTGGCATAAACATTTAGAATCAGACTAATTAGAATTGCGTTGCCGTTGTCAGTTGAATTTTATGATGAGTTAAGTGTAGAACATACAATGATTCTTTTAAACAAACTTTATTGACAAAAAGAACAGGGAGGAAGAAATCTCATATGATGCAATAACAGATAATACTAAAGTCAAATATGGGTGTAATGAGTAATGCATTCTAATATTGTTAATAAGAAAATACAAATATATACAGTATATACCTTGTTTAACACAGAGCAAGTTACAAATGTCCTGGGTCATGACATTATTTTATACATGATAATAATATATACTAATTTAATATATACTAATTTAATATATACTAATTTAATATATACTCATTTAATATATACTAATTTAATATATACTAATTTGATATATACTGATTTAATATATACTAATTTAATATATACTCATTTAATATATACTCATTTAATATATACTCATTTAATATATACTGATTTAATATATACTAATTTAATATATACTGATTTAATATATACTCATTTAATATATACTCATTTAATATATACTGATTTAATATATACTGATTTAATATATACTGATTTAATATATACTAATTTAATATATACTAATTTAATATATACTAATTTAATATATACTCATTTAATATATACTCATTTAATATGTACTCATTTAATTTATACTCATTTAATATATACTCATTTAATATATACTCATTTAATATATATTCATTTAATATATACTGATTTAATATATACTAATTTAATATATACTCATTTAATATATACTGATTTAATATATACTCATTTAATATATACTCATTGGGCACTGTCCCGTATGTTATGGACCAGTAAAATTACAGATTAAATGAATACAAGGAGAACAGCAGGAGGTGAGAGACTGGTTTTAAGAGAACGTTGCCAGATGAAAATGCTATAGTTTCAGGATTACAGTTGTCGAGCAGGTGGATGGCACTTTCGTTTCTTAGCAAGAAGGTCCTAGGTTCGAATCCCAGTCAAAAAATGCCACCATCACTATATGCAAAAGAATCCAGAAACTATCCAAATATGTTTCCACATCATGATTTGATTGTGATTGGTCATATTATTCTCCGGCCGACATCATGCTACGACATCATGTTTCTGTTTTATCACCAATATTGACACCTTCATGAGACCAGGACACTCAACATGTAACAACATTTATCATCTGCAACATGTAACAACATTTATCATCTGCAACATGTAACAACATTTATCATCTGCAACATGTAACAACATTTATCATCTGCAACATGTAACAACATTTATCATCTGCCCTTTATGCACCAATGCCAATGTGTTTTCTGTTTTGTTTCTTGTGTTTGAACTGATTCTCTGATCTGTGTTGGTGAATTCAAGTCCTCAGAGATTACTACTGTGGTGATTTAGTGCTATACAAGAATACATTTAAGTGATTTGAATGAGAGAAGGATTAGACCATAGTTGATGCTGAACAAGGACAAGGACAGAGACCGGATCATGTAGAACACACGGTGACCTCATAGTTCATAATAACCACTGTCAGATCTGTTCTAATGCCCCTCTCTTTAGGCGGTGGGGAAAGACGACCGGCTACTTAACGTTAAGTCAGAAGACAGTTTAGATGCTTCGAGGCCTCCACCGGACCCCTCCCATGCTGCTGTTGAAGAGGCCACAGTGGAAACCCGGCCTGGTCTGGAGGTGGTGGGCCCTGTGCTCTCTCAGCGCCCTCATACTCAGAACCGGGGTGAAGACAGAGCTGAGAGACACCCGCCTCCCGCCTCCAAAAGCCAACCGCAACAAAATCACTTAATGGACACTTGTGATTTATCCTCAGCACTGGAGAAGGATAAACAGGCTCAATCAAGCGTGACGCCTTTAGTTTCAGATGGACGAGGAAATAGCCAGGAAACTGTAGCGGGCGTGCAAAGCTTAAAAGAATTGAATGCAAATGTCCCTCGGAAAGACAATGATAACAAACTAAATACACAATCTTTGACGGTCACAAACCCAGAGTCCAATGAATGCACTATATCTGAGAGTGTGATTACAGTACAAGACAGAGAGCTCCCTATTCCCATTGACAATATTCCCGTTATCCAAATATCTACCATAGACGACACGCAGAATGTTGAGGTAGTATTTGTTGAGAAGGTTGAAAACAATACTGACTTTTTCCCAGCATCAAAACCGCTCATGGCAGGAACTGAGCAGGAGATAAAAACAGAATTTCACTTTACAGAAGATATTCCAGAAATACATCCAGTGGTTCCAGTCATTTGTATAGAAGACGAGATACTGACTCCAACAATACAGATATCGCAGCCAGATGTCAAAGAGGGTCCTTCGCCGATGGCTTTAGCGCAGGAGAAAGAGCGGATGGAATTGGACAACTTGAAAAATGTACTTATCAAAAATGATCGTGTGTCAGATTTTTGCGTCCCGAAAGATATGGAGAAAGCAGATGGCAAGGTTGAAGCAGAGGAGGTTATACAGGTCCCTTATCCAATCCCTATTATAAATGTGTCATGTACTGAGGAAGGGATCGAACAGGCGGCTTCTGATGCGGTAGCGCTGTCAGTGTTGGTCACTCCGCCCATCCCTGAGACAGCAGAGATCAGAGACAAGACTGAGCAGACACGGATGGCTGAACCCACAGAAAGCACAGAACACACATCTGCACCCAGAGAAATCCCTGAACCCACAGACAACATAGAACGCAGAGAGGAGACAGAGCACGGAGATGCACCGGGGCACAAAGAAAGGACAGAGAAAGACGAATTACCTGCAGCTGATAATGCGTCTGAAGTGGCAGAGTTTAGAGAAACATCAAAGCACAGAGGAACATGTGAAAATGGAGAAAGACCTGAACTCAAAGACACAACAGAGCAACATGTCGCTGCTGTGATAGAGGACAAGAAAACGCCTGAACACACAGAACCTGAACCCACCTCAAAGGATGATACAAAACAAAACAGTCAAATGCCTCAAGGTGAGCTGACAGAGCAGACTGTGGGAGAGAACAGGCTGATTGTGGCGAATGAACCAGCAAAGAGTGACATGAACGTGCTGAGTAAGACAGTGGAGGCCAGCATAGAGAACGAAATCACTCAGTCTTTGAAAGAGGCCCGGATAGAGAGCTTCATGTCTGTAGAAAGGCTGAGCTTTAAGCCCCCGCTCTACCCCTCTCTGAGTCCTGCCAGTCTGAGGAAGTTCATGTCCAAAGCCTCTGGTGAAGGCGAGGGTTCAGCAGACAGGCAGAGTGACAAAGCTGAGGACTCTCTGAGTGGAGGCTCTACTCCCACCTCCTCTCTGTCCTGTGAGAGCAGCCCCCGCCTCAAGCGCCGCGACAGCCTCTCCCTCATCCGCTCAGCCACCCCCGAGGAGCTGGCTTCAGGGGCCAGGCGCAAGATCTTCATCCCCAAAACCAAAGAGGAGACTGAAGACTGCAGCAATAAGAAAGACAGTCCTTACATGTCTCCTGGACAGGCCCGCCGTGCATCCTTCCTGCAGCCCCCCACTGGGCCCAACACCCCCCCAGTGGAGAGGCGCTCACCTCTGCTCAACCGCAGGAAGGCCACGCTGGAGGTGCCTAAGGTGGTAGAGGAAATACCGGTGCCAGAAGAAGTCAGCATCAAGCTTGAAGATAAATCTGGAGACAAGAAGCCAGACCCACTGAAAGGTAAAAGGATTCAGTGAACATAAATGAAGCCTTTTACTACAGTGCAACCATGTCATAATTGCACAGTTGCTGAATTACCTTATTTTTGTCTGTGTTTTTTGTGTGCAGCTCCTCAGGTGATCCGAAAGATCCGAGGAGAGCCTTTCCCTGATGCTTCTGGACACCTCAAGCTCTGGTGCCAGTTCTTCAATGTTCTGAGCGACTCCACCATCAAGTGGTACAAGGAGGAGCAGGAGATACTGGAGGTGCAGAGAAGGTACAGACACTCTTCAGCTCTTTGTAGATAAGAGTTTATTATTTCCACAGTTGAAGTCATTAATTATACATTGTTGAATAGATTTATAATTGTCTGAAATTGAATGTGGCTTGTTTTATACATGATCAGCTCCTTTACAATATCATTTTAGCCCCTTTCAGTCATTCAAATCAAAGCAAAAGTACTTGATTTTTGGTACGAAACCCAGAAAAAAGCATGATTATGATGACATGTTTTCTATGGCAGTCTGGGAATAGCTTGAGACGTCTGACAGTGACACCTTGTGGCTGAAACGTGTCTCTGTCTGTGCGCAGTGGGAGCGATGAGAGTCAGGTGGCGCTGGCTATTGTTCTGGCCTCCAGCTTGGACTGTGGGGTTTACGGCTGCACCATCAACAATGAGTATGGGACTGACACCACTGACTTCCTGCTCAGTGAAGATGGTAAGAATCCATGAGAAATGAACTTACAGTAAAAACATGTGACTCAATTTTTAACATGTATGGACATTTATCAGCATTTATGGACATTGGTCTCTCCCTATGGATCAATACTTTTATATATATTTTTTGTGTCTTGTGTTGATTCTCTGATCTGTGTTGATGATTTCAATGGTTTTGTTAAGTCCTCTGCGGTGCCTACTGTTGTGAGTTAGGGCTATACAAGAAGAAATCGTATTGTATTGTATTGTAACTTTTTCTCTTTTCTCAGTCATGGGAGAGATTTTGCTGAAAGACGACTTGGAAGGTACAAGTCTATTTAATGCATTTTGAAATCTACTGGATTTATAAAAGGTGCAAAGCCATATCAAATGAAGCCTCATGTTTATCAAAGCTCTTTTGTGTTCTTCAGTGGGAGAGGAGATAGAGATGACTCCATTAATGTTCAACAGAGGCCTGGGGGACTCGGGCACCTGGGGAGGGAAGTTCTTTGGTCGGATTATGACTGAGACCGTGCACCTGGGAGCAGGATGGACCCACAAAACCAGCAGAGTGAAGGTCATCTACGGCTTAGAGCCCGTCTTCGAGTCTGGGGCCTCCTGCATCATGAAGATCCAAAACCCAATCCCATATGGGACCAAACTGGAGAGCAACTTGGCTGAGAGAAACCAGGAAATCACCAAACAAGTGAGAGGAATTCATTATAACTGCAGGCAAAGAAGAATGATCTTGGAGGTGTTTTCAAGATAGGATTTTACACAATGAATGATCAGAGACAGAGAGAATGAGATGGTTTTTAATTATCAGGGTCAACGCCATGTCTCCTTTACTTAACTGCATGCTCTGTGTCTGCAGGAGTGTAAAGTCCAGAACATGATTCGGGAATACTGCAAAATCTTCTCCGCTGAGGCTCGCGTGAATGAAAACTTTGGCTCCGCACTAGAGTAAGAACTGTGCTACACGTGCCTTTGTTCATGAGCTGGTTATTAAATGTGTGTGGTGTTCTTGTGACTTGTACAGAGTGGTTTCTCAGTATCTCATGTACCGACCGGCAAACTCAGTGCCATATGCCACAGTGGAGGCGGAGCTACCCGGACTTTTCGAGACCTACTGCTGGGTGGACGCAGGGGGCAAGCTGAACTCGAAGGGTGTTTCTGAGGCAGAGCAGAAGTGCAGCACTTTCCAACACTGGCTTTATGAGTGGACTCACAGTAATCTACTGACCACTCGACTAGAAGGTACAGCGCTGTGTGGAAAGTCCTGAGGGTTTACACTTAAAACAATAATAATAATTATGTATCCAAATTATGTATCCAAAAGGCCACTGTAAATACAAAGTAACCATGACCCCCGAGTGCTGGTTCATACCATGTGCTGTTGTGTTGCAGGTGTTGATTTTAAACTTACCAACGTCAGAGTTGTGACCAAGTCCAAAGGGTTAGTGTTTACAGCCTTCACTCTCATAACATTCTGCTGTCATGGTTATGACTCATGACTTGTGTCTCTCAGATATCAGGGTCTATCAGAGCGAGGCTCTCCAGACGTGTTTGACCAGTTTGTCACACACCATCAGTGCAACTACTACTGTGGACTGTTGGGTCTAAGGCCCCTCAAAACTATGGACAGTCTTCAGCCGCCCATTAAGATGAAAGGATCCAGAAGTCCACTGCTCAACCGCAAAAGTGGAGGACCTGGAAGTCCACATGTGCAGAAGAAATCCTCACTCAGCCCACATTCACAAAGAAGAGCTGGAACCAGCCCCAAAGTGCCCAGAAAGAACCTGGAGGCCGAGGACAGTACTGGTAAAAGCAGGGCTGTGGACACCAGGTAGGGGAACCAGGGGGCAACCAGCAGCTTTAGAGTCTATTATTTTTTATAGAACTAGCTATTTTGACAATTTTGAGCACAAGGATGAGAAGATACTGAACCATTTGGGAAAACATACTGTGAATGTAAGATTTGTCTTATGCATTCTATCTATAGATGTACGAATGGTGTCTGACGCCAGACAGTTATCTGTGAAAAGCCTCACAGTATTTTCTAATGGAAGAGAAAAAGCTTCACTTATGTAACGGCTGGACGACAGAGCAGAGCGCTGATGAGCGCTTGTGTGTTTCAAATTGATTGGCACACATGGAAGAACTCACTGAAGCTATAGATATCGACGGGGGTGTGTCAGAACAGTGACTGCACCAAAGGATCTAAACTAAAGTGCCCAAGACACTGGGTCAATGACAAGATACTGAGTTGGCTTTTGTAATTAGCCAATAACAGTTTGTTTCTATCTCACCGTCCACTGCATGAATCTTTAGACTGGTCAGAAGTGAAATGGCGTAGGTGTTAAGAGCTAAGGATGGCAGTGTTGTGAACTGTGTAGGAAGAACTGAGTCCTGGTTCAGTCCACTTTAGTCCTCCTATGGACTTTCTTGTCTTGGGTTTGTCCTGGTTTAGTGCAGACTCAACCCCAGATTCTATTACTGTTTAGTCCCGATGTTCTGTCTCGCGTTTGCAAGTGTGGACGCACCATCTTGTACATGAATGTGTGAATGAGTGACAAGGACATCATGTTTTTTGTAATAAAAGTGCCATTTCTTTAATGCAAGGTGTTCATTCTTTACAAAATATTCTTTCTGTACACGGCGTAATCAACAAAACATAGAAAAATATAGATGGAATTGTACTAATGCAGAATCATTGCAAAAACATACATCATATTTGGCAGCATAAATATATTGAAATTCGACACATGTTTTAGTTACAAAGAGCGTCAAATGAAACGCCGCAACAACGACAGCATTCAGTGAAGAAGAGAGAGGCGTTCTGGACGTTCTGCCAGATACCGCTGAATATGAGGGAGCCATTGTTGACGGTGCTGAAGAAAGAAAAGATCCATTGGTAAACATTCTAAAATAAATGTAAAAAGTGTATTATGTCTTGATTATGTTTGAGGCTGAACAGATTTTATTAAGACAAAATAGTAAAGAAGCTAGTGCTGTTAATTACCATAATAACCAAAGCATTTTTGCCTTTAAAACCATCCTGAACCCTTTCCTTACCTCCCAAAGAGATTCCGACAGCAGCTGTTGACTTCACTGTTGCTCACATTAAACTGGTTATTTTGGAAAACACCGACACAATCTACAGGCGGCACGAACAGGATTCCTGAACGACACAAGAATATTGTTTAGTGACACAAAAACACTCGGATAATATCTACTGTGGCAATGTTGTTGTATCAGGGCGACAGTGGCTCAGTGTGTGGAGCGTTGGCCTGTGAGCCTGAAGGTCGTGGGTTCGAGTCCACCTCAAGACTTTCTCCATCGACTCCCACTGTGTTGGGCAAGACACTTCACCCCCATTGCCTAGAATGAGTCTGGTGTGTGTGTGAATGGGTGGTGGTGGTGGGAGGGGCTTCTGTCAGTGTGTCCCAGGGCAGCTGTGGCCACAATAGGAGTTTATCACCACCGCGTTTGGAGGGAATTAATAATGACATTTGAAGTGTTTTTGAGAGTCCAAAAAGCTGCTATATAAAACTGATGTATTATTATTATTATTATTATTATTGTTGTTGTGGGAAAATTATAGCTGTGTAGAAAAAAAAGAAGTTCAAGGTTTGTGTGATGGCTGAATATAAAAAGTTTATTCAAGTCATAATAATAACTGTACTCAAATTAGTTTTTTTGCAGTGTAGGGCTGTAATTAAAGGGGCGCTATACAACTTTTTGCATATTTGACCATGTATTCCCAGTGGTTTCTCGGATGTAAAAAGCATTGTGATTGTCTGGAGGGGGTTTTCTCCTGGGTTAGTTTAGATGTTTGGATCTTGGAAGGTCAGTGAATATATATATATATATATTATATATTCAATTATTATATATATAATAATATATTGGGATTTTCTTTTTTAATTAAATTTGACCAAAACAAAGTGATGTCTTCATTTACACATTGGGTTGTTTGATTCAAAATACTTTGTAAACAAATATTCAGTTAATTCCCCAGTCATTATAGAATGATCTGAGTCATAAAACCTATTCTCAGCACATTTATAAGTCTAAATTGGTTAATAAATTATAACAAAATAAGTCATTTAGAATAACTCATGTTGTTATTAAATTAGTCATTCATCCTGGTTCTTCCCCTTCATCCATGTCTGGTTCAGGGAAAGCACCGGTCAGTGATGCCTCAGCCTTGATCTTATTCGTTATTTATTAATTCAATAATGATTTACTTCTTTAATAATCAATTAGTAGCGATTAATCATTCAGTGGTCACAGCCCGATTGCTGCAAACATGTCCTGTTCAGTTTGGGAACCTTCTCTCTGAGGCCGTCCTCCCAGAAATGTGATAATTTATGTCAATAGAAAACAAAAGAAGGTTGCGCACCCATCATTTGTTCTTCTTTTAGACTTAGACTTTATGGATCCACAGGGAAAATGCGTTGTCACAGTAGCTTGCATAGTAATCCACAATAAAAATAACATTAAAGTAACAATCTGAAAATAATAATAATAATAAGATAATATTATGAGAATAGAATAAAGTTAGCAGGTTTTCACTGAGGAAACCTGTTTTTGCAACGAATAAAACCAAAACGGTTTTCCCCAGTTACCAGTTTTTGCGACCGAAACAATACGGGAAAACCTGAAGTACACGGTAACACTTTATAATAACTACACCTTATTTAGGCTTAATAAATGTTGAAATAACACTTAATTAATCATGAACAATTCATTAGTTAAGAGTGACCAACACTTAAAATCTACTTAACTACTTGTGAGGCGTAGTAATATCTTAGGAGCACTTAGACTTCGAAGTGCTCCTAAGATATTACGCCTTAAAATATAGTTCCCATTTTATCCGCTCTGAAAACCCACATATTAACCCTGACTCTTGCATCATGTAAAGGCTCATGTAAAGGCTCACGTAAAGGCTCATGTAAATGCTCACGTAAAAGCTCACGTAAAGGCTCATGTAAAGGCTCACGTAAAGGCTCATGTAAAGGCTCACGTAAAGGCTCATGTAAAGGCTCGCGTAAAGGCTCGCGTAAAGGCTCGCGTAAAGGCTCACGTAAAGGCTCGTGTAAAGGCTCACGTAAAGGCTCACGTAAAGGCTCACGTAAAGGCTCACGTAAAGGCTCACGTAAAGGCTCACGTAAAGGCTCACGTAAAGGCTCACGTAAAGGCTCACGTAAAGGCTCACGTAAAGGCTCATGTAAAGGCTCATGTAAAGGCTCATGTAAAGGCTCATGTAAATGCTCATGTAAATGCTCACGTAAAAGCTCACGTAAAGGCTCATGTAAAGGCTCACGTAAAGGCTCACGTAAAGGCTCACGTAAAGGCTCACGTAAAGGCTCACGTAAAGGCTCACGTAAAGGCTCATGTAAAGGCTCATGTAAAGGCTCATGTAAAGGCTCATGTAAATGCTCATGTAAAGGCTCATGTAAAGGCTCATGTAAATGCTCATGTAAAGGCTCATGTAAAGGCTCATGTAAAGGCTCATGTAAAGGCTCACGTAAAGGCTCATGTAAAGGCTCATGTAAAGGCTCACGTAAAGGCTCACGTAAAGGCTCATGTAAAGGCTCATGTAAAGGCTCATGTAAATGCTCATGTAAAGGCTCATGTAAAGGCTCATGTAAAGGCTCATGTAAAGGCTCAGGTAAAGGCTCATGTAAAGGCTCGCGTAAAGGCTCGCGTAAAGGCTCGCGTAAAGGCTCACGTAAAGGCTCGCGTAAATGCTCGCGTAAAGGCTCACATCAAGGCTCATGTAAAGGCTCACGTAAAGGCTCGCGTAAAGGCTCACGTAAAGGCTCGCGTAAAGGCTCACGTAAAGGCTCACGTAGAGGCTCACGTGACCGTATTCAAAAAGAGAAAACGTGGAAGGGCTTAGTCGCGTCTAACTTCCGTCCTGTTTGGGTCCATAAAGGAGAGGCTAAAGGCTAAAGGCTAAAGCTAAATGCTAATGACATCTGAGCTCTTTTTACGTGACTGAGGGCACACAGGGTAAAGGTTAAGTAGTTATTAAGCGTTGGTCACACTTAATTACTGATTTTCTCATGATTAATTAAGTGTTACTTCAACATTTATTAAGCCTAAATAAGGTGTAGTTATTATAAAGTGATGGGTGAGCAATCTTCTTTGTTTTGAATAATCCCTGTACGACTGAGAGCTTGTACCCAAACTTATTTACAGTATATCAATCTAAGTATTTTTCTTACCTGCTACGCACGCGTTGACCAAAGACACACATGTCCCAGTGAGCATCGCCCTCATGACAACCGAGGACACGTCACTTCTTCTGCTTGGACAAATGGAGGCTAAAAGAATAGTAAAAATTCAGAAAACCATCAAATAACGTTTGTGTCTGTGATTCTAATGTTCCACAGATACATACAGAGGCCTCCAATGCAGATGCCCAACGAGCTGAAGTTTGCAAATCCACAAAGTGCGTAGGTTGTAATTGTTTCTGATCGAACCTGTAACACAAACACTATAAGTTTAAGCGTTAAGATGAGGTCAAAGTAGGGTTGCCAACCGGAGAACAAAAAAATAAGGGACACCATTTGGGTGGATCAGGTTGAGCACTTTTTAGTCCTACTTTCAATCTACACAAGAATAATGGAATTTCATAATCACAGTATTTAGAATGTAATTTACTTCACTTAAAAGCTATTGTTCATTTACAAAGCTGGTCTTGACATTTGTTGACACTCCCTAAGCGCTTTTCTCGGGGGCACTTTTGTGAGCTGATGACCGAGGAAGTCTGAATCTGGGAATATGAAGCAAACTTTACCGAACTTCTGCCGTGATGATGTGGCGGGCGCTTGTAAACATTAAACCCATGGATGTGATTACTTTGACACTGATTGGCTGAAAGGTAGACGCTTAAACTGTGTGTGTGTGTGACATGCAGTGAGTGAGGGACGGTTGCCAACCCTGGGTAAAAGTATAAGGGGATAATATATATTTACCGAAATCCACTGAACCTCTCCGTCAATAATGGAGTCGAGGCCGTTCTGCCGATTGGTCTTCAGTGCAGATAGAGTTTCATAAGCAACAAACTCATTGATAAAGAGTTTTGTGCCAATCATCTGAGCGACCACGAAGCTCTCTCTGTATGGAATCCCCATCATGAAGGCCACAGGCATGAAGATGTACGAGCAGATCAGCTGCGGCACAGAAACAAAACATCTAAAACATTCAATTTAAAGACCTTATGCCGGTGTAACGCTGAGATACACTTCCTTGAAGAGATGCACTGCCTCAGCTGTTTATGATGTAATGCAAACCTGCGCATGCGCGTCTCACGGCAGCCGAAGCAAACCAAGACGGCGGACCGTGAATTGCTAAAAGTTGAAATACGAACGAATAAAGACACGAATGTCACTTTTAATGCAATTTGAGGCGAGATGTTGATGGTCCCGTTTTGTCACATGTGGGTTTTAAGAGTCAAAGTTTCGTGCAAAGTTTAGTTTAAGCAGTCAACTGCGCCTGTGAAACCACAAAGCTAATGTTTTCATAGCAGCCTCCGCGGCTGCTGACGTAGGCTGCTGACGTAGGCTGATGACGCGTCCTGTGGCCACTCTACACTCCTACACTGGTCTGTCGGGTTGATAATGGGAAATGGGGAAAAAAATCAATCTAATTAAATATTTAGTTTGAACACACTATTGTTAATCATATTAAATACAGTACGATACATGTATTGAATGAAATTTATTATTTCCATTATCAACCCGACAGACCAGTGTAAGAGTGTAGAGTGGCCACAGGACGCGTCATCAGCCTACGTCAGCAGCCTACGTCAGCAGCCTACGTCAGCAGCCTACGTCAGCAGCCTACGTCAGCAGCCTACGTCATCAGCCTACGTCATCAGCCTACGTCAGCAGCCTACGTCAGCAGCCTACGTCAGCAGCCTACGTCAGCAGCCTACGTCATCAGCCTACGTCAGCAGCCTACGTCAGCAGCCTACGTCAGCAGCCTACGTCAGCAGCCTACGTCATCAGCCTACGTCAGCAGCCTACGTCATCAGCCTACGTCATCAGCCTACGTCATCAGCCTACGTCAGCAGCCTACGTCAGCAGCCTACGTCAGCAGCCTACGTCATCAGCCGCGGACTGCTATGAAAACATTAGCTTTGTGGTTTCACAGGCGCAGTTGACTGCTTAAACTAAACTTTGCACAAAACTTTGACTCTTAAAACCCACATGTGACAAAACGGGACCATCAACATCTCGCCTCAAATTGCATTAAAAGTGACATTCGTGTCTGAATTCGTTCGTATTTTAACTTTTAAAGAAATTCACGGTCCGCCATCTTGGTTTGCTTCGGCTGCCGTGAGACGCGCATGCGCAGGTTTGCATTACATCATAAACAGCTGAGGCTGTGCATCTCTTCAAGGCAGTGTATCTCAGCGTTACACCGGGTTTAAAAAAAAAAAATGTGGATATCACAATTGCATGACAATGTCGATCTGAAATAGATTCCGGCAAAAAAAATCCTATATTTTATAAAAAGAACGTGTTTTTCATGAATTTAAGCTGTCTATGCTCTAACCTGTGTGTGACGCCACAGCAGGTTACGCCCATGCATTGAAAACCATGGATCTATGCCACAGGACTGCCTTTTCTCTCTTCTCTCCACTGATGCCCAACACAATACTGCCCTCTACAGGTGACAATTGCTCACTACACATAAATTGCCGTTTTGAGAGTGAAAAAGTGTCTGAGCTGGGATTTGAACCCAAGTATTGAACCCAAGTATCCACTGGACTATCTCAGCTGTACACGGCCTTGTCATCTTGAATATCCGCGAAAAAAGAACGAATACCAAATTGTAAACAACTTACAGCGTTGAAACGTACCCACTCTGACGTCACCAAGGGCTGTGAAGTTTTTCCGTCTCTAAGGGCGTTGCTATGGGGTTATTTCGATTTGGGGGGATCAGACAAAAAAAACAACTGATTTTTGAAACCTTTAGTAGTTCTCTTCTAATATAAAATGGTATTAAAACTGTATTTCTAAATAAATCAAACCCGGCATAAGGTCTTTAAGTGTGTGTCGCTCCAAGTCACAACAGCAGTCGTTACAGATCAGAAAATCAAACAGCTCAAACGCAATAATAACAAACACATAGGAGCTACTGCACTACAAAAATAATGGAAAATATGATTGGTTGAAAATCTGCTTGAAAGCTAGTTATTCCATCCATCCATCCACTTTCTTCCCCTTAATCCAAGTCTGGGTCGGGGGGTGGCAGTCAGAGCACCAGCCCCTCACTGATCCTCCTGCAGGTGCTGAGTCCACAGGAGCTGAGATCTTTCAGTGGGAGCTTCAGGCAAAGTGGGGTTAAGTGTCTTGCCCAAGGACACAACAACAGCCGTCATCAGTAGAAGTTGGGAAGTAGGTCTCGTGTGGGGTCTGCTCTACCAACTGAGCTATTTATTATTTATTTTTCATTATTTTATTTTATTTGAGTGCATTCTGAATTAAAACAAGATTCTCCAATGGGACAAAGCTGTTTAGTCTAATTTAAAGAAAAGTTGTTTCATTTTCTCATTTCAACTGAGAAATGTCTTGTATCCTTTTAAAACAAGATCATTTCTCTTTGTCCCGTTGGTGAGTCTTATTTAAGGCAGAGTCAGAATGTGCTCAAATTAGCATACATTTTGCCAATTTTTAATTGTTTTTCATCCCTTTTTGTAGTGTGATCCATATGGGAGCAGAGTCTGTACATAATATATCCTGCATTTAACATGTTTGCACATTTCTTACTTTTCACACAATCTTGAGTGATTCTATCCATGCCAGATGTGACTGGTACATTTCTCCTGTGTGAGATTAATAAAATATATCTTATCTTATCTTATCTATACATGTTCCAGATCATCACTGTCCTTCGACCCTTCTGCATCGGCAAAAGAACAATCTGGGTTAGGGTTAGAGAGAGGGGTCTGCTCCCACGGACAGACAGCCTACAGTTCCAGGTCTGAGGGACTGAGGCCGGTGAGCGAGGCCAGACAGAACTCAATTGTTGGTGTAAAGAAAGACATATTCTCATCAAAACTTTATAAATGTGTGTATCAAAGGCTAGAAGAGATGTAATTTTTTTAGGTTTACTTTTTATACATAGTTCCCACAGACCAATGAATGTCACATGACCTCCTCGGAGACGCCATCTTTGATGGCACGCTGCTGTGTTTGTGCATTCCATTAAACAGAAGAATGAGAATAAATGTAGATATTCAAACGCAAATTGGAAAAAAAAGCCAACTTTTGAGCAAATAATTGTATATTAATACAATGGCACCACAGTTTAACGTGCTACGGACATGTTTTACATATTTGATCAAATTATGCAGCAAAAATTAACAAGCAATGCAAACATTTCTCAAAAACTTTAGATTTAATACCAGTTGGAGCTCCATTTAATTATTTTAATTATATTAACAATTCATTTAATTAATGCTAATGCCACACGGACACTCTGGATTGCTGTTATTGTTTATTTCCGCGTTTTTGACCGTATGTTTTGGTGAATGGTGGGCAACTGATTTTTCCAGGCGTAAAGAGCAGTTTATTTTATAACACAGATCTTTTTACAGAAGCAATGCTGTTTGTGAACATTGTTTTAGCCCACCATAGAACTATTATTATCTATTTAATACATTTACGTTGCCCTCGAGAGCCTCGGACGCGACACCGATCCTCCTCATAATAAAGTAATCTAAATAATGAAACTCTCAAGTTACCAGATATCAGCATACACAAGTTAGTACTGAGTAAATTACGTCTGTCAACACATTATGAGATACGATACGCACCTGACACAAAGTGCTCCGAGCATATTCTTGCGTGTTTTGAGGGAGTTTCTTGCCTGTTTATCTTCGCAAGCCATAACCTCCGTGGTTGTTCTGACAAAAGCTTAGTCTTCTCACATTCATGAAGTCTAATGATGGGTATACTGTAAAATCCAAGTTTAACAGAACCTCCGGCACGATTTGAACATCCATTGACCCAGCAGGAGATGACCATTTTCAACTTTATCACAACATTAACACGTTTCAGCTTCTTTTTCTATTGTTTTGCCCACAGAATGCCAAGACAAATGGCGCCGGGTCGGCAAATCCCCGTATGTAGTGACGTCATGTGGGAACTATGTATTGTGCAGGCGAGATGCTATTGCTAAGTTATGGGGGGTTGCTTTACGGAGCACTTTGCTTCAACGACGTCTGTGGATTTAATGATGACAGCTTCACACGTGACACGGATGGAAAGAGGACATGACTCATGGTATTATTGAGCATTAAAACATAAGTAGTTAATAAATGCATGTTACAGTGAGAGGGTTAAAGCCATAATCCAAAGAAAAAGCAAAACAGTGCACTGCAAAAAATCTAAGATATGAGGTAATAAATGCGAGAATCAAGGGTTTTTTTGTCTTAATTTGACACATTCTGACTGTGTTAAAACCAGATTCTCCAACGGGACAAAGCCATTTAGTCTGATTTCAAGAACTGTTGCTTTATTTTCGCATTCCAAGGGAGACATTTCTTGTATCTTTTTAAAACAAGATCATTTTGCTTTGTCCCGTTGGTGAATCTTATTTAAAGGCAAAGTCAGAATGTGCTCAAATTAAGATACATTTGGTCAAATTTTAGCAATTTTTGACTTCTGTTTCATCACTTTTTGCAGTGCGTCCCCTGAAATAAGTGGAATCTGTTGCATGGACGGTCTGTAAAAGCGGGGTTTTGTGAGTGACCCTTGCTCGCTTTATTGGTCATAAAGTTTAGGTATGAAGTTATAAACGTGTCTGTAATGAACAAACCTCAAAGGTGAGGGTGGGGTATCCAACCATCCCTCCGAACCACTGCAGAGATTTATTGATGAAGTCGAGAATCGCCAAAAAGGCAATCAAATTGGCTGCAATGTTGGCGCAAAGACCAATAGAAGTGGACGCTCCACTGCTGGCTGCTTCCAGAATATTCTGCTCATTACTGCATGAACAGAAATGGTTATGTATTTTTCTGAACAAATGAATCTGATGTTAACGGTACATACCCACAATCCACTTTGATGCTCTTGTCGGACTTGAAAACACTCTCCTCTGTTTCTGGAAAGGACAGTTTGGACAAAGCCAACGCACACGGAGCAGCCATGACTGAGGCCGAGATCAGGGCCGAGGCATCGATCTGAGGACAAAAACACTGATTATAGATTCTGTTTGTGTAATAACTCTTCCTCCTTATCGTACAACTTCCCCAAAGTCTATTTACTAATGTTTGCGCTTCTATTTTATTTTCAGATTTTTCTGATAGATAAAAGGCCCAGTGTGTGAACTGTTGCCATGACAGTTATTATGGAGACAATGGGCCTCATGTATGAAACTTGCGTACGGCCAAATCAGGTGTAAATGAGGCATACGCAGAAAATGTACACTTTTCAGCATTTATCAATCTGAACGTGGGCGCACGGTCCACATAAAATACACGCCAAGTCAGGAGGTGGTGTACATTTTTCACCCATCTCAACCTTCATCTCAACACGCAAATAACACGCATGAAATTCAAGATTTGGACAACGACAAACATATTCCCATTCTGGCAACATTATAGGCACACTTCTCACATTACAAATATGCAATTTTACGAAGTTATGTTAGGGCTAGTTTGTGTTTTTAAATAACGTGCAAGATGTCAAACTTAGTCTCCCACAAATGTGTGGATCGTTATATGCACCGACAATCAGTGCAACGGCATTTGGTTCATGCGGCTCCAAGCAAAGACAAGCGCCACCGTGGAGGCTGCGCGGGTCTGATCAGAGGAAGATGGTTCTGGGACATGCAGGGGGTACGCTCTGGTACCTCCCGGTACATATGAGCCTGGCTCGGTTCTCCACAACACGGTACAGGACCACGGTGTGCCACTGGAGGCACTGGTGGAGCAGCCCATGGATGAGAGACCATGGCCAGCACCGCCTTCAGCCTGTACAGCTCACACAGGCTCTCATTCAACCATTATAAAATAAATCATATTCCCAGTCTGGCAACATTATAAGCTGTGTTTTCATTGAGCATCAGAAAACGCAAATTTCAAATAAATCACAGATCATGATGAGGAGCCTCTTTTGTTTCTTCGTTTTTAAATCTGAGCTATTTGTGTGTTATTTTCATCTGTATGTATTTTTTTTTTTGGTGAAGCGCTTTGTGATCCTGGTCTGCGCTATACAAATACACTTGACTTACTTACTTACTTAATGTGTGACCCGTCCTGCACTGCGTAAACACGCATGGCTATTTGTTTTGCCTTGTTCAAACCAATGCATTGTTCATTAGTTTTTTGCATAAAGCCCCATAAACGCACTGATGGTCTCAAAACTGCCTCAGCCACTGCCCTTGTTCGCATGTAGCAGAGAGAGGACGGCTCTTTGGGCAGTGCACACAGCGGGCGCCACAGAGGTCCCCCACCACAACACTTTTCAAGTGCGGTGCGTGCCGTTCAGACGACTTGGCCAGAGTTTCCACTGCATCCGCAAGAAGATCCCGCAGACGCTTCATCCCGTTAATGATGACCTTCATTCATTCAGTTATTGATTCATTTATCCATTCACCTCTAAAGTTCAAAAGAGATGAGAGCTGCTTTCTTTTTAAACAAAATTATAAAATAAAACTCGATATAGACTCAGTGCATGTCACCAACAGGCCTTCTGAGGCTTCCATAGACTTTCTGGCCGGCTTGAGACGTCGTAAAAACACGGCATTTTATGAATATTTCTAGGCGTGACTTTCATAAATACGCTGGTTTTCACCGCGGCATTTATCAACAGCCGCAGTTGCGTACGCTCAGATCTGTGCGTATCTCACACGTTCATAAATCCTGCGTTGAGTCTTTCATAAATGAGGGCCTGTGAGAGTGAGAGGGTTAAAATGACAGTCCTTTGAACGTATATTTGGAAATGAGCCTTTTGACTTGTTTAGGTCCAAACACGATCAAAAATAAGAATTCAAATAAATAATAATAATAATAATCCATCGGTTTTATATGGCACTTTCTGGACACTCAAAGCCGCTTCACATGTTAATATTCTTTCATTCTTCGGTGGCTACTACTGTAGCTACAGCTGCCCTGGGGCACACTGACAGAAATGAGACAACCAGTCTGTGCCATCGGCCCCTCCCATCACCACCAACCATTCACACACACACAGTTCTACTCATCCTAATGTGGGGGAAGTGTCTTGCCGAAGGATACAATGGCAGTTTGGCACTTTACAGCCGCAGCCGCCCCACTGTGGCACCTGCTGTTATCAGAGGTCTCCCATCCCAGTACTAACCACACCCTACCATGCCTTAGCTTCAGAGGTGGCCTTCACATTTAGGTGGCGTCACTATTATGTTCATTGACACGTACTTTCACAGTCAAAACAATACAAATAATGACATTCATTTGAATCAACCTAAATGTGAGTTCTGTTCAGTGGAGACTATGGCGTCTTACCCCAAATGAAATAAACGCCCCCATGACACTTCCTGCGATTGTGGCAAACCCGCCGGTCAACACGGCGTGGATCTCAGACTTGGTCATATCTTTTAAGTACGGCCGGATCAGCAGAGGAGCCTCCGTCTGAAAAACACCAGTAGATTCATTGAGGCCAGGGAGGAAGTGTCCTGATAGAAGAGATCGTAAAACTATGGGACAAAGTTCAGCCCAGGATAATTAAAGGAGACTAAAGTGAGAGCAGGTGAGAGGACCACGTACCTGCCCAACAAAGATGTTTCCGGCTACGCTCAGGGTCTCGGTGGGGGAGGTTCCCATGGTTACCTGCATCACCCATGAGATCTGCAGAACGGGAGAAGCAGACGTATCAGGAGACGCTACAGGAGGTATTGAACTTTGTGTGTTTTAAATGTAGACTGTAAATATTCACGGATGCAGAGACGCTTATTTCCTCCGTCGAAATGTATGTGTGACCAATTACATTTCAAAATAGCTTTAACAAGTGCATTCAAAAGTCCACAGCAGCTAAACTAGGCTGGTCCAAACAAAAAATACCCCCTTCAGCATTGACACGTAGCATTGAGCCGAGACCAACTTTTGGACCAGGCTGTAACGCTGTTTTCAAGAGGAATAAAGGTGCCATAAGAATGCATTGGATAATTCTGTTTCCTGTACACCACCACCGGCAAGGAGCCAGATTCAGCCATGTTTACTTTTGGATCAGGAGAAAACCCACTGGAGGAATGCTAACTTTTTGAAAAATGCTAATGAACCATTCAGCATTTTACTTTGGACCAGAGCAGAGAAAATGATCCGAACCAAGAGGCTACTCCACCTCTGCTGCTGTGACCCGTCCTGCTCCACCCAGAGGCTACTCCACCTCTGCTGCTGTGACCCGTCCTGCTCCACCCAGAGGCTACTCCACCTCTGCTGCTGTGACCCGTCCTGCTCCACCCAGAGGCTACTCCACCTCTGCTGCTGTGACCTGTCCTGCTCCACCCAGAGGCTACTCCACCTCTGCTGCTTTGACCTGTTCTGCTCCACCCAGAGGCTACTCCACCTCTGCTGCTGTGACCCGTCCTGCTCCACCCAGAGGCTACTCCACCTCTGCTGCTGTGACCTGTCCTGCTCCACCCAGAGGCTACTCCACCTCTGCTGCTGTGACCCGTCCTGCTCCACCCAGAGGCTACTCCACCTCTGCTGCTGTGACCTGTCCTGCTCCACCCAGAGGCTACTCCACCTCTGCTGCTGTGACCCGTCCTGCTCCACCCAGAGGCTACTCCACCTCTGCTGCTGTGATCGGTCCTGCTCCACCCAGAGGCTACTCCACCTCTGCTGCTGTGACCCGTCCTGCTCCACCCAGAGGCTACTCCACCTCTGCTGCTGTGACCCGTCCTGCTCCACCCAGAGGCTACTCCACCTCTGCTGCTGTGATCGGTCCTGCTCCACCCAGAGGCTACTCCACCTCTGCTGCTGTGACCCGTCCTGCTCCACCCAGAGGCTACTCCACCTCTGCTGCTGTGACCTGTCCTGCTCCACCCAGAGGCTACTCCACCTTGTGACCCGTCCTGCTCCACCCAGAGGCTACTCCACCTCTGCTGCTGTGATCGGTCCTGCTCCACCCAGAGGCTACTCCACCTCTGCTGCTGTGACCCGTCCTGCTCCACCCAGAGACTACTCCACCTCTGCTGCTGTGACCCGTCCTGCTCCACCCAGAGGCTACTCCACCTCTGCTGCTGTGATCGGTCCTGCTCCACCCAGAGGCTACTCCACCTCTGCTGCTATGACCCGTCCTGCTCCACCCAGAGGCTACTCCACCTCTGCTGCTATGACCCGTCCTGCTCCACCCAGAGGCTACTCCACCTCTGCTGCTGTGACCCGTCCTGCTCCACCCAGAGGCTACTCCACCTCTGCTGCTGTGACCTGTCCTGCTCCACCCAGAGGCTACTCCACCTCTGCTGCTGTGACCTGTCCTGCTCCACCCAGAGGCTACTCCACCTCTGCTGCTGTGACCCGTCCTGCTCCACCCAGAGGCTACTCCACCTCTGCTGCTGTGACCTGTCCTGCTCCACCCAGAGGCTACTCCACCTCTGCTGCTGTGACCTGTCCTGCTCCACCCAGAGGCTACTCCACCTCTGCTGCTGTGACCTGTCCTGCTCCACCCAGAGGCTACTCCACCTCTGCTGCTGTGACCCGTCCTGCTCCACCCAGAGGCTACACCATCAGAGTATGTTAATATGGAATCACACTCCAGCACATAATGAAACATGTAAAATGGAAAACACATCCATGCAGCTGTATGAGGTGGTATACGTATAGTTGTGTGTTCCTATGTGTATGTATGTGTAGGTATGTATGTGTATGTATTTGTGTGCATCAGGGACGTGCGGTGAGGTTTGTGATTAGGGAGGCACTGACTTTAACAGTCAGATTTACCATCATTATTTTAATAAAATGGCATCAAATCGTTAATGCACAAACATTATATACTGTAAAGATAAGAGAACCAGCATATTAATGAAAATCCCACAACACATCTAGACGCTGGCTCTCCGCTTCACATCAAACCAAGTCTTTGCGAAGCACAGGTGCGAGAGAAACACAAGGAACACAAACAAGATTTAAACACTTTGCAGAACTTATGACCAGTGTTAAATCAGTGTTTTTTTACGCAGCTCTAGTACATTTTCAATATAAAACAGACACTGACAGCTCCTCACCCGCGGCCGGACTAACCTCGTCAGTCCAGCGGTGGTCTTAGTCTATATTACTTCTTGCTTTGATTGAAAGTCCAGTTGAGAAACAAATCCTCAATCCAATCATCATTTTCCAGCAAAAGAAATGGCACCGACAGTACTGATAGTTTGTTATCAAAATATTTACAGTCTGTGTTAGCAACTCGGGTATGAACTTCATGCTCACTATCACCCCTAGTGGTGAGGCACAGACACTGCCTGCCTCACGCTAGGCTTTTCCCATGTGTATTCTCCGATCAAAACACTTCAAATAATTATATATAGTACACAAAATACGTGCAATACATTACTAAACTAAAATGTTATTTAAAGCCTGTAAATGTAAGACACAGTCATGTATCCATCTACATTGTAATCAGTTTAAATGAACATAACAGCAGCCTGCCCAGGGACTACAGGTGGAATTAGCATCTTTGCTATAACCTGCTACATGCATCTCTCCTTTTGTGTTAATGCTTAACTGTACACTGTCCCTGTTCAAATAAAGTACATACAATACAATAAACACTATGACAAGTTTAACAAATGTTTTCATAGCAGGATGTTGAAACAAAAAGGGATATATCAACAGCATGAGCTGAGTGCACTCAGACACACACACACTCTATGTGGGAGCGAGCGGTCTGGGGTGAGGCACGCAGGAGCGCTGCCTCACCTCGTCTCTTTGAATAGGAAAAATAGGATTTCAGCGATTTTGACTTCAGAAATGATCTAAACTGTTCGGAAACAGGCCGAAAATACATTATAAGCATAGGACAGTGGAAAACAATTATATATTTTGACTATATTAATAATTCTTTTTTCAATGATGGCAGGTGAGGCTCTGCCTCCCCTGCCTCCCCTGACTGCACGTCACTGGTGTGCATGTAGTATGTGTATATAATACTCTGATGTATAAAAAAACAAGCCAACTCAATTAGTATGGTGTTTGTTTTATAACTTATTACAATACATTGAATTAATCTGTGGAGAAGGGGATTTAATAAGCTTTGGCTTTTTCCTACTGCTTTTGAACACGAATAAGTGTTGTTGTTGACATTTTTACACAATACACAAGGCAACTCAAAGTGCTTAACAAAACCTATGTATGTTATGTGTAAATAATGTAAATAACAATAATTGATCACCGTTTATAAGCTTGGAATAAATAAAAAGATGGAAGATGTCCTTAAGTTGCTGACCTTGAGAATGAGCCACTGCATGATTCCCAGAAAGTACAGGACGGACATGACACTGCTGAAGAAGACAATGATGGGTAAAGCCTGGGCAAACAGAACATTATTACTCATAAATCTGCACACATCCTGGCTCTAAATCCTTTTTTCTACTCACTTGAAACGCAAAAATGTCATTGATCAGGTCTCCAAAAACAAATCTCGATCCTTTCTTTGTATAATCCAGGAATATCTACAAAAAAAACACATTTATTTGACATTGTTTAAGTGACTGAGAGAAAGATTTCATACTTTCACTTGCTCTCCGAGCCACTCGAAGGCGACGAGTCCTGGATGTGTTCTTATGATGAACAACCCGAGACAGAACTGCATCCCCAGGCCCCAGAATATCGGTCGCCAGTTCACCTGCAAGGCCAGGCGAGGCAAGTTTATTTGTATGGCACAACTCGTACACAAGGCCAGGCGAGGCAAGTTTATTTGTATGGCACAACTCATACACAAGGCCAGGCCAGGCAAGTTTATTTGTATGGCACAACTCATACACAAGGCCAGGCCAGGCAAGTTTATTTGTATGGCACAACTCATACACAAGGCCAGGCGAGGCAAGTTTATTTGTATGGCACAACTCGTACACAAGGCCAGGCCAGGCAAGTTTATTTGTATGGCACAACTCATACACAAGGCCAGGCCAGGCAAGTTTATTTGTATGGCACAACTCGTACACAAGGCCAGGCCAGGCAAGTTTATTTGTATGGCACAACTCGTACACAAGGCCAGGCGAGGCAAGTTTATTTGTATGGCACAACTCATACACAAGGCCAGGCCAGGCAAGTTTATTTGTATGGCACAACTCATACACAAGGCCAGGCCAGGCAAGTTTATTTGTATGGCACAACTCGTACACAAGGCCAGGCCAGGCAAGTTTATTTGTATGGCACAACTCGTACACAAGGCCAGGCGAGGCAAGTTTATTTGTATGGCACAACTCATACACAAGGCCAGGCGAGGCAAGTTTATTTGTATGGCACAACTCGTACACAAGGCCAGGCCAGGCAAGTTTATTTGTATGGCACAACTCGTACACAAGGCCAGGCCAGGCAAGTTTATTTGTATGGCACAACTCGTACACAAGGCCAGGCCAGGCAAGTTTATTTGTATGGCACAACTCATACACAAGGCCAGGCGAGGCAAGTTTATTTGTATGGCACAACTCGTACACAAGGCCAGGCCAGGCAAGTTTATTTGTATGGCACAACTCATACACAAGGCCAGGCGAGGCAAGTTTATTTGTATGGCACAACTCATACACAAGGCCAGGCGAGGCAAGTTTATTTGTATGGCACAACTCATACACAAGGAAACTCAAAGTGCGGAACCAAACACCAAGACTCATGTACAGTAGTTAGGATTGTCGGAATAGTCCTAGAGTATTGGCTGCTTGTTGAGTATATATCTAAACAAAGCAACAGTAGAGCTACATTCCACACTATTTCATATCTGTAGAAATGTGTGAGAATATTTTATTATGAAATACAGTATGATAAATAAGTATTGTTTTTATGGTAATGAGAGGATTGTGTCAGTAAGTGGCAGGTGTGGGTGCAACATGGTTTGATGTTATGTGTGTGCTGTTCGTGTGTGGCTAGTAACAGTTAGGCTAGTAACAGTTAGGCTAGTAACAGTTAGGCTAGTAACAGTTAGGCTAGTAACAGTTAGGCTAGTAACAGTTAGGCTAATAACAGTTAGGCTAGTAACAGTTAGGCTAGTAACAGTTAGGCTAGTAACAGTTAGGCTAGTAACAGTTAGGCTAGTAACAGTTAGGCTAGTAACAGTTAGGCTAGTATCAGTTAGGCTAGTAACAGTTAGGCTAGTAACAGTTAGGCTAGTAACAGTTAGGCTAGTAACAGTTAGGCTAGTATCAGTTAGGCTAGTAACAGTTAGGCTAGTAACAGTTAGGCTAGTAACAGTTAGGCTAGTAACAGTTAGGCTAGTAACAGTTAGGCTAGTAACAGTTAGGCTAGTAACAGTTAGGCTAGTAACAGTTAGGCTAGTAACAGTTAGGCTAATAACAGTTAGGCTAGTGACAGTTAGGCTAGTAACAGTTAGGATAGTGACAGTTAGGCTAGTAACAGTTAGGCTAGCAACAGTTAGGCTAGTAACAGTTAGGCTAGTAACAGTTAGGCTAGTAACAGTTAGGCTAGTAACAGTTAGGCTAGTAACAGTTAGGCTAGTAACAGTTAGGCTAGTAACAGTTAGGCTAATAACAGTTAGGCTAGTAACAGTTAGGCTAATAACAGTTAGGCTAGTAACAGTTAGGCTAGTAACAGTTAGGCTAGTGACAGTTAGGCTAGTAACAGTTAGGCTAGTAACAGTTAGGCTAGTAACAGTTAGGCTAGTAACAGTTAGGCTAGTAACAGTTAGGCTAGTATCAGTTAGGCTAGTAACAGTTAGGCTAGTAACAGTTAGGCTAGTAACAGTTAGGCTAGTATCAGTTAGGCTAGTAACAGTTAGGCTAGTAACAGTTAGGCTAGTAACAGTTAGGCTAGTAACAGTTAGGCTAGTAACAGTTAGGCTAGTAACAGTTAGGCTAATAACAGTTAGGCTAGTAACAGTTAGGCTAATAACAGTTAGGCTAGTAACAGTTAGGCTAGTAACAGTTAGGCTAGTAACAGTTAGGCTAGTAACAGTTAGGCTAGTGACAGTTAGGCTAGTGACAGTTAGGCTAGTAACAGTTAGGCTAGTAACAGTTAGGCTAGTATCAGTTAGGCTAGTATCAGTTAGGCTAGTAACAGTTAGGCTAGTAACAGTTAGGCTAGTAACAGTTAGGCTAGTAACAGTTAGGCTAGTAACAGTTAGGCTAGTAACAGTTAGGCTAGTATCAGTTAGGCTAGTAACAGTTAGGCTAGTAACAGTTAGGCTAGTATCAGTTAGGCTAGTAACAGTTAGGCTAGTAACAGTTAGGCTAGTAACAGTTAGGCTAGTAACAGTTAGGCTAGTAACAGTTAGGCTAGTAACAGTTAGGCTAGTAACAGTTAGGCTAGTAACAGTTAGGCTAGTAACAGTTAGGCTAGTAACAGTTAGGCTAGTAACAGTTAGGCTAGTAACAGTTAGGCTAGTAACAGTTAGGCTAGTAACAGTTAGGCTAGTAACAGTTAGGCTAGTAACAGTTAGGCTAGTAACAGTTAGGCTAGTAACAGTTAGGCTAGTAACAGTTAGGCTAGTAACAGTTAGGCTAGTAACAGTTAGGCTAGTAACAGTTAGGCTAGTAACAGTTAGGCTAGTAACAGTTAGGCTAGTAACAGTTAGGCTAGTAACAGTTAGGCTAGTAACAGTTAGGCTAGTAACAGTTAGGCTAGTAACAGTTAGGCTAGTAACAGTTAGGCTAATAACAGTTAGGCTAGTAACAGTTAGGCTAGTAACAGTTAGGCTAGTAACAGTTAGGCTAGTAACAGTTAGGCTAGTAACAGTTAGGCTAGTAACAGCTAGGCTAGTAACAGTTAGGCTAGTAACAGTTAGGCTATAACAGTTAGGCTAGTAACAGTTAGGCTAATAACAGTTAGGCTAGTAACAGTTAGGCTAGTAACAGTTAGGCTAGTGACAGTTAGGCTAGTAACAGTTAGGCTAGTAACAGTTAGGCTAGTAACAGTTAGGCTAGTAACAGTTAGGCTAGTAACAGTTAGGCTAGTAACAGTTAGGCTAGTAACAGTTAGGCTAGTAACAGTTAGGCTAGTAACAGTTAGGCTAGTAACAGTTAGGCTAGTAACAGTTAGGCTAGTAACAGTTAGGCTAGTAACAGTTAGGCTAGTAACAGTTAGGCTAGTAACAGTTAGGCTAGTAACAGTTAGGCTAGTAACAGTTAGGCTAGTAACAGTTAGGCTAGTAACAGTTAGGCTAGTAACAGTTAGGCTAGTAACAGTTAGGCTAGTAACAGTTAGGCTAGTAACAGTTAGGCTAGTAACAGTTAGGCTAGTAACAGTTAGGCTAGTAACAGTTAGGCTAGTAACAGTTAGGCTAGTAACAGTTAGGCTAGTAACAGTTAGGCTAGTAACAGTTAGGCTAATAACAGTTAGGCTAGTAACAGTTAGGCTAGTAACAGTTAGGCTAGTAACAGTTAGGCTAGTAACAGTTAGTAACAGTTAGGCTAGTAACAGTTAGGCTAGTACAGTTAGGACAGTTAGGCTAGTAACAGTTAGGCTAGTAACAGTTAGGCTAGTAACAGTTAGGCTAGTAGTTACAGTTAGGCTAGTAACAGTTAGGCTAGTAAAGTTAGGCAGTTAGGCTAGTAACAGTTAGGTAACAGTTAGGCTAGTAACAGTTAGGGTAACAGTTAGGTAGTAACAGTTAGGTTAGGCTAGTAACAGTTAGGTAGTAACAGTTAGTAACAGTTAGGCTAGTAACAGTTAGGCTAGTAACAGTTAGGCTAGTAACAGTTAGGCTAGTAACAGTTAGGCTAGTAACAGTTAGGCTAGTAACAGTTAGGCTAATAACAGTTAGGCTAGTAACAGTTAGGCTAATAACAGTTAGGCTAGTAACAGTTAGGCTAGTAACAGTTAGGCTAGTAACAGTTAGGCTAGTAACAGTTAGGCTAGTAACAGTTAGGCTAGTAACAGTTAGGCTAGTAACAGTTAGGCTAGTAACAGTTAGGCTAGTAACAGTTAGGCTAGTAACAGTTAGGCTAGTAACAGTTAGGCTAATAACAGTTAGGCTAGTAACAGTTAGGCTAGTAACAGTTAGGCTAGTAACAGTTAGGCTAGTAACAGTTAGGCTAGTAACAGTTAGGCTAGTAACAGTTAGGCTAGTAACAGTTAGGCTAGTAACAGTTAGGCTAGTAACAGTTAGGCTAGTAACAGTTAGGCTAGTAACAGTTAGGCTAGTAACAGTTAGGCTAGTAACAGTTAGGCTAGTAACAGTTAGGCTAGTAACAGTTAGGCTAGTAACAGTTAGGCTAGTAACAGTTAGGCTAGTAACAGTTAGGCTAGTAACAGTTAGGCTAGTAACAGTTAGGCTAGTAACAGTTAGGCTAGTAACAGTTAGGCTAGTAACAGTTAGGCTAGTAACAGTTAGGCTAGTAACAGTTAGGCTAAGTAACAGTTAGGCTAGTAACAGTTAGGCTAGTAACAGTTAGGCTAGTAACAGTTTAGGCTAGTAACAGCTAGGCTAGTAACAGTTAGGCTAGTAACAGTTAGGCTAGTAACAGTTAGGCTAGTAACAGTTAGGCTAGTAACAGTTAGGCTAGTAACAGTTAGGCTAGTAACAGTTAGGCTAATAACAGTTAGGCTAGTAACAGTTAGGCTAGTAACAGTTAGGCTAGTAACAGTTAGGCTAGTAACAGTTAGGCTAATAACAGTTAGGCTAGTAACAGTTAGGCTAAT